ATATTGCCATACATTTCTATTACATTATGTACTGTGGAAATTTCTGAAACTATTCAATGAATTGTTTACTAGTATAAATTTCTATATTTCTGAGGAAGGCCTATTACATATATATAAATGCAGCAGAGTCAGCAGTAAATCATCAGTCAGTCTATAGCCAATGTGTTTAGTACTATGGTGATAAACAAACATTTGGACTATAGTGGTGTTTTTTTGTAGTGAAATAGGTTGAAAAGTTATTGGCTCAATATTGGCTGACATTTTCTAAGTATCAGCTGATTAAATTGGGTAGTTAGTGGTATTTGGTCCCATTAATCAATTGCATTTGATTAAATGACTAGTAGTGGTCCTCAAACCATGGTATGTACAAGTCATCAACAACAAAAACAAACTTTAGCAGTAAGTGCTGTCAGTCAATTGCCTTCCCTCTAGTCAGAAGTAAAAAAGGAAAGAAAAGAAAACGTTGGTGGCAGGTGCTACTAAGCAGTTCCCTTCCCTCTATGCAGCAGTTCAAAAAGAAAAAACAAAACTGACAGCTACTTGCATTCCCTCTAATCAGTAGTTCAAATTTAATGACAGTGCAAGATTGCCTTAGTACTTTTGCTATAACAAAGACATGAGGAGCAAGTTTGGTGGCAATGGAAATAGATTCCCAGCCCATCAAATCAAGAGTCCTCCTCCCCAAAAAAATCCACCAAAGCTGAAGAAGAAAGAAAAAGAAAACTATAAGGTTAAAACTGGGCAGAGCATAGATAGCCAATTATGTAGCTTTACACCTAAAAACAAACACATTAGTAATATTTTAATTTTTGATATTTGGAATAATTGAAAATATTATTAATCAGAAACCCTAATTTTGATGAGCTGATTGTTTTTGTGACAATCAATATAATCAGAATTTTGATTAATCATTTGTTAAAATAATTGAAAACACTAGTATCAATTACTTGATTATTTTCATGACAATCGCTATAATCAGAACTGTGAAGAGTTTGGATTCAAAATGTGGTATATGCCACTCTCCCAACAAATAAGCTACCACTGGCATACTGATGACAGCACTCAAAATTGCAAGATATGAATTGTCAGAAGAGACCAAAATTTGTCTCACAATCATATATTAATTTGTATTTGACATCTGTGACTGAGGGTCGGAATGTCAGATACAAAATACAAAAAGTGGTTTCTTTGTGTATAAATACTACACTTGTACACAGCATTGAGACAGTATTTTTTTTTACACAAACCAACGGTCTTACCTCTTTTTACAACCCAATAAATTTGGAATCATGCATTACATAATATATGTCACTTCCTTGTTGCCATGTGTGATACAAACATTATGAATCTCTACAACCAAAGATTATATAATTCATGACTAAATTGGCAGAAGACATGGAACAAAACTACTAAATGTCAAAATACAAAATCAATTTTTTATTTAAAAAAAAAAATCAAATGACACTGAGAAGATACACAAAAATAATGCTGAATCCCTAAAAACTACAAATAAAGTTCAAATAGCTAGCTCATGAAAAAGGGATGATTTAATGGCCCAGTTCTCCTGTGTACCCTGTGCATATCACTGGAGAAAATATAGCAGGTAAATCTGATACTGGATGTGCAATTGTAGTAGCACTACCAGTAATATGTTGTAGAATCACTATGGTGATGCAGCTTGTGTTTAAGGTTTTACACTTTTAGCGTTAGACTGTCTTAGTTAACTTGTTATACTTTAACTCTACATGTACCTCTAGGTTGTTGTAACTAGTATTGGAACCTTCTTTGCTTGCAGGTGAGAGAAGAGAGAGTTTTCAATTTTATTACATTTTTTCAAGTTCTATAATGTAGTAAATTAATTGTACCCATTTTAATATCAGTGAAACACATTATTGAAAAATTGGAACTAAAGAACTAAGAATTTAGTTGACCCTTAAATGTTTAAATGGCTACCAAATTACAAAATCCAGGAGCCAGATAGCCCCAATGATTTTTCTATCTTTGAGCCCTCGATGGATGTACAGTGTTGTTCATTGTATCAAAATTAAGGGGATATAGAGGATATTTGGAAGAACACCCTTGAGATACAGTTTTTATATTGAAAAGTATTGCTAAGGATGAACAATTATATTTAATTTATGGTCTGTTTGTTTGTTGAATTCTGTGAATAGGTACTTGAGGGCTACCTGCACTAGCCATCTCTAATTTAAGATAGACAAACTAGAGGGAAGGCATATGGTCAACACCACCCACAACCACCAACTCTTGAGCTACTTCAACTGAATAGTAGGACTGAACATCACATTATAATGCTCCTACAGCTGAAAGGTTGAACATGTTTGGTGATAGGATTCAATTGCCTTAACGACCAGGCAATGCCAGGCCAGAATAAAGAAATAGTCATAGTGAAAACAGAATGGTGTAATGGTTATTGTTGATTTTTAGTGCAAGGCTAAACAATGGGCTGTGCTCTATCCACGGTAGAGAATTGAACCCCAGATTTCCACATTACAAGTCCACATACTTACCACTGATTCAACAAATAAATTAGTAATAAAATTAGGTTTTCAGGTTTACATTTAATAATTTATAGTGGTTTTATATAATACAATCCCACTTTTGAATTCACATTATTTGTGTATGCTACAGAAGAAGAAAAAAAGGTGATTTTCTCAAAAACTGAAAGGTCAGATACATAGAGCATTTTCCATCTAAGCTCTTCATAAACACACACATTATATATATATATATATAAGTAAAATTCTAATACAATTATTAATACATAAATCAATTTCACACTGTACGAAATTCTCCAGCAGGCAAAAGACAGAGAATGCAGCAAAAAAAAATTTCAGCATTTTGCATCTTACGATTTGAACACTTTTTAAAAACATTACATTTATGTATTGTCATTTCAATGACTTTAAAAAAAATTTGCACCTCATAAAATATCTTTTTTGTCATATCTGAAAAATAAATATTAATGTAAATATTAAGATAAATAAATATTATAACTTTCAATTTATAGAAATTATGCAAACAATTTAGTAGTAATTGTATTTTTATCTTGCTTTCTTAATGTGTGAATTAGAACTGAGCACAATTAACTCAATTATCTATGAGCATCAATTAGATTTATCAGTGTCATGTAAAATTATTGATCAATTAATGTCAGAAAAATAATAAACTAATCAAAATTAATGCTTCTTATTACATCTAAGTAGTCTAAATATTGTCATTATTAGTTCATGGTTGTTTAACTTAATCCATTAGTGTTATGACTCACAAAACTAATCAAAACTGGTGTTTATAATTATTACTATTTTTTATTATCCAACTATCAAAGTCTTATGTGAGAATAATTGATAATTTGATTGTAATTAATTAATGAGCCCAACAATTAATTCATTCTCAAACTCCACTAACTTAACAGCAGAAGTATAAATCCAGATTTAGTTTTTCACTGTTTGCTGTTAAATAAAACCAAAATCCTAAAAGTTATATACTACTTTTTTTGTGGATGTTTTTTAGGATAGGAAGGAGACAAGTAGATTTTCTAACATTTTGACCCTTAGACCAGTGGTTTTCAGACTGTGTTCCATGGAGCCCCAAGGTTCCCTATAAAGATCATAGGTGATGGCAGTTTTTTTCAATTATTAAGTGTAAACCCATCAGAAACCAAATGTATTTTTAAAAATTATAAGTATTTTTGTATATTTATTTACAATTTTACACTAAGGCAAAGTAAAAAAAAAAACATTTAATTTCTGGTGTTTTTGGAAAAAGGAAGTCCTTTTCTTTAAATGACCTTTTTAAAATAAAGTTTGCACCTTTTTTTTCATGATTGTTGCTTGTTTTCAAAGGTTCCATGTCAAACAGAAGTCTTCTTTGTTTAATTTTGTCATCAAAGCAACACACAATTTATGACAAATAAAGAAAAAAGGATAAAATGAATCAACTGTGTTCATTTTTTATTCAGAAGTCTTCTTTGTTTCTTTGTATGGTCGAAAAATTATAATTAAAAAAAAGTGAGGGGAGGTGGCTGCAAAGAATGAAGCAGGTAGGAATGCTAAACATGTATTTTCTTGGCCTAACAATACTGTTACAAACTTGGTCTCTTTCATCTAGGTTAGACTTTAAGGATGGTTTAAGTGTTCCATGACAGAAGGAATGAAATAAGAGGGTTCTATGGGCTTGAAAAGTTTGAAAAAAAAACTGCCACAGACAAGAAGTTTTTAAAAAAATCTACTCCCCCTGTTTGAGACTTGATGTGAACTTGAAATTTCGGAAAAAGAGTGATAAAAATAGTAGGGTGCAATAATAATGTTATATCAAAGGATCGTATAATGATTCCAAGTGAATGCTAGATTACATCTGCTGCGGCAGGAGAAATGGATTTAAAGTTGGTGGGGTAACAGAAGGCAGAATATCATTATAAATGAGTTAAAATAATAGAGGAGTAATGCTACAAATGGTTTACCTTGGGATTCTATGCTACGTTCTTGTTATTTCTCATTTTCCTTAATAATACTGACAAAGGAATAACCAGTAAATTGAATAAGTTTGCAGATATCAAAATTATGAGTATAACACAAAAATATAGAGCCCTATAACCCAAGTGCGTTTGAAAGGATGACCATACATCATTAGGGGTAACCTGATAAAGAAAGGTACATATTTTGAAAGCACTTCAATTATATGGTTTTGTATTTATGTGATTCTTGTAACCTACGTATTTTCCTAACATCATAAAGTAATGAGTATTTTATACTACATACGTTGACGTTTTGCAGATAGGTTTGAATGTGTTACAAGAATTTAAAAAGGAAATCCACAATTTCCTGAAAAAATAAAGGCTGTGCTTTAAATTTTTACTTTACTCAAAGATGAGTGTGCATGAACAGCCATCAAAGACCAAATGATACATTGTTGTACACGTCATTATAAAGATGTACATTAAAATTCATTTTAAACCAAATCAATGTTTTAATGATACATACACATTCCTCTTCTTTCTCCATTCCTGTTGGCATCTGAGGTACTGCTCGGTTGATTGCTGCAAAATCTGGTAGGTCTGGAATTTCTTCAGACCTGAGTAGTGGTATTGGTTTTGATGTATCTAACGCACGTGCTCTAAATGACAATTTGCTCATTTTCAATCCTGTTATCAAGTCCAACAAAAGAAAGTAATGTCACTGTGGTAATCTATTCAATAAAATTTCTAAAAATTTTGTTTCATTCAATTGATACATGTGACTAAATTTAAAATTAAAGCCTATACTTAGGCCAATAGCTGAATTCAAAACTAACATCAGCTAATTTCAAGTTTTAAATTTACAGAAATACGTTAAAGTGTTTATTGGACATGTATAATGCAGTGCAAGACTGTGTATCAAAATTATCACTCCAGTCTCTACCCGAATTCAGGTTCTGAAAAGTAGGCTTAACAGTAGTTGCTCAGACCCAACGTTCTTTTTGTAATCATATTCATAATCTTACTCTTGATTATTATACCAAACACCAAATACAATCAGTCAATATAAACTGTTCCAAGTTTACTACTTCTAAAGCCTAAACGTTTTCTTATATCTTAATTATACAGTCTAACTCTTTCCTGTCATACTTATAACTACAAGTCATTATTTTCTTCTCAAACTAGAACCAATTCCCGATTTTAACATAACGTTAGGCCTAACTTCCCTACGACATTTTCATGAATGTATGTTATCGATTCCACGTGTGAAAATATAAAACAGATACACTAATCAACATATGAAACATAATTTCAACTGCACAACGCCCATCTCTGTCATTTCTCCAATATAAGACCTAAACTAAAGATTTCTTCACGTTCCCCTTAATGAAATTACGAACTTTTAATTAAAATAATTCGTTTCATTTTTTTTTTATATACGGTTAAAAACAACCTATTCGGTTCCGTTTGTAAATGTGATTTCGTTATCCATACTAAAATTTCAATCATTTCATAAACTTTCTGGAGTAATAATCAGAAAAGCTATAACAAAAATATAACATTATGTGGATCATGTACTAAAGAAGTGTAAACATTTTTATAATCACTGAATTATACTTTTCAGATTAGAAAAAGAGACTTGTATTCAACAATAAGAGTGAATTCTTTGTGAAAACGTTTTCCTCGTTTTAAGAATGTAATGTATAAAACCTCCATTGGCATATATGTGAACGTATGAAAGTAATTAAATATAAGCGCAAGAAGAAATTTTGGCTTGAAGAGTGGAGAGACTAAAAATCTAATGCAGAATGGGCAAGATTTTTGTTTGTTTTATTTTGTTGTTGTTGTTGGGGAGTAAGGACTTTAAAAAAATAATAAATCTGGGTGCTTGCTTCCTCAATAAATGGATGGGTGTGGTCTTGTTGGTCTGAGAATTGGAAGGTCCGAGCATGGAATCATTAAATAACAATGAAGATGCCATAACTTTGAGCTGTAAGTAGGTGGTCCGTGTTGCTGACTGATGCCCTTTCTTTGGTCATCAGTTTTAGATTAGAAATAGCTATGTTGTCTTTTTTCCCCTAAAGTTAAATTGCATTTTTCTTGCTTGTTATAATTTAACTTTGTATTTTTATATTGGGACTTTTACTGGATTTTAAACTGTAACTTATCTTTAAAAGTTTTGTTCGTTTTGCCCAGTTTACGTATTTTGTTATCTGTTTGTTTGACAGGGGTAATGGCAATATACTACAGATTGAGAAACTAGTAAGTAGGATTTGATTTTTCATACATGATATACAGGGAAGAAGAAATATTGTCTGTTAAACAAACCAAGTGTTTCTATTCCTTTTTGTTTATATATGTGAACATCTCCTGTTTTACCAAAGTTTTGTGTTCAGTTTCTTTCATCCATATCAGTCAAGTCAAAAATTCAATTATAATTCTGCATAGTATTTTCTACTGTAGGTATTATATTTTACCTGTACTATATGAATGTAATGATACTTATAATCATGTAACTAATGATGGTTATTAGACAGTTAAAATGCTTAAACTAAAAGGGAATTTCTGGCTATTAAAAATTATAATAATAAAATAATAGACAAACAACTGAAGCACTACTGATATAGAAACAAATACTTGACATGACTTTTATTTTAAAACTATGTATATGTTGTTCCTGTAATGTTCGGGTATTCTGGTGTTCTACAGAACATACACTCTCACTATGGTCTAAATTAATCATTGCAGTTTTAACCAAACGAATACATTTCTACATTTCAATACAAATTCTTTGTTTACCTAGAAAATTGTGTTTTTTATATATGTCGCATTCATGTATATGATTAAAGATACATAGACTGGTCCACATGTAATGTAAATAATATATATATATATCTCAAAATCACATATTAATGAAACACAACTTGTTGTATCTGACATTACTATTTAGTGACTAGCTTGATAACCATAGCAACCAGCGCCAATGTCATCACACTTTACACATGTGCTAAACCATGTGTAATGTCTTCATGTGCCACCTAAGTAGTCAGACTACTCCACGTTAAACTATATCAAGAAAATACAAGTAATCACGGACAGAAATGGTCCTTCCAGGCATATCTGTATTCTACATGCTTTAGTTATATGGCAATTTTACAGTTTTTTCGTGTAGTTACTTTCTATGCAGTTTTAGAATAAACATGTGATTCGGAAAGTCGTTGAGATTGCCATTTTCTAATCGTTTTTGTTTCTTTGTTTTCTATAGTAGATAATGTACATTTTGCACGAGAGGATATTGAAGTGATGTATAGCATTTGGATTGAAAGTATTAGTGACTTTAACATCGTTTGCTGGCCGAATCGACATTGTCTGTATGTTACAATCGACCAACGCTGTAAAAGAACAAGGGTCATGAGATAATGCTGTTGACTGGGCAAATAAATACAGCTTACCTGTTGGATTTAGATATACTTTCTCAGTTCGGTTTCTACCTAGAAATCGTTAAGTGTGGTCCCATTTTAAGATCAGTATGTTTAGTTTGACATAAGTCTATCCAAAGAGAAAAAAAGATGTGAAGTTAATCACAATCCAGTAGAAGTTACTGTCTTTTGTGTATGCAAATAAGTACTCTGTGTTTTCCTCATGTGTGTTTCATAATAAAGATTGTGTTCATTTTGTTAAACTTATCCAATCTCATTATTTTACACAGTCAAACTGTCAAACAGATTACTGTTTGATATTTCCTTAATAAATCTGCTGTTTTTAGCGGTTCTAATAACTGATACGTATCAAGAGATCTGTTTCCATCTGAAAATATCACGCAGCTACAAACACACATAGTTCTATGCGTCGTAACACACAGTCAGCCCGAATAACAATATTTTCTTTTAGTACTGACATCTAGAGGGTGTGAAAACAAAGACGTCACTTTCAATCAAGGATTTTTAAATCCAATGGCATCTTAACTGTTAATCAAGCAGTTAATCCCACCTGCAAAGATTAGGCAGGTGTTGTCTGCATCTTATTTCATCATTAAAGCATCCATACTGGTCCTCTATTGGTATTTCTTCGTTTGAATTCTCATGAATGATCATAGACGTATCGTCAATTTCTTTCTGTTCATCAACTGGGACTCTGTGGTACACTGCTCTCATTCCTGTAGTTTGTTTGTTTTGAATTTCGCGCAAGGCTACACGAAGGCTATCTGCGCTAGCCGTCCCTAATTTAGCATGGTAAGACTAGGGGGAAGACAGCTAGTCATCACCACCCACCGCCAACTCTTGGGCTACTCTTTTACCAACGAATAGTGTGATTGACCGTCACACTATAACGCCACCACGGCTGAAATGGCGACCATGTTTGGCGTGACGGGGATTCGAACCCGCGACCCTCAGATTGCAAGTCGATCGCCCTAGCCATTTGGCCATGCCGGGCCATTCCTGTAGTTAACCTGCTCTTCCATATTTGATTTCTGGAGTAACAGTTTCTCAAGCGATACCATGGTGACAAAGAATTTAAGCTTATTGATGGATATGATACGAAGCGCTGGCTATCATCCAGCACACTCATTTGCCTTTAATAGTTTTTGTTAATAAGATAAATATTATTTTTCGTTTTGTTTTTACTTTGTGTTTTGTATCATTCTTCAAACTCAGTCTAAGTCAAATAATTCAGAGTTAACTCCATGTTACATTTCCCGATATTCCTTAAGCTGTTGCGATACTACTTTTAACTCTTTGGTTATCCGTGCGCATGAGAATACCACACCTAGCGTATGTGACTGTATGTGGAAATTATTTGCTAAATAATAAAAATGAGTCCGAATTGGTAGGAAAGATTTGTTCAGGGCAAAATAAAGTATCATAGCACTTTATAAAGATAACCAAAGTCAAATCTCTAGGAGATTAGTGATAGAATAAAGCACTAAAATTTCACACAGAATCTTTTATATTGTTACTTCTCCGTTTGTTAGTTAACTTTCCGTAACTTCGTTCCGACGAAACTTTAGCGACACAAGTCCTTACTTAATAAAACTGGTTTATTCTTTCTGAATATAACTTTACGATACACTCAACTTCAACAGTCGCACTATAACAAACTATAGTTCACGTCTCACGAGCTAGACTTCGACAATACATCTCTCTCTGACTGCAGTTCAATTACTCATTACCTACACACACATTATTGTCCCGTCACGTTGTCACCCTCTTTTATATACCAGACTACCCTATATCTAGTAAATGCTAGAGCATTCGGCAAGGTACAGGATAGTTCTAGAAACGTGGCGTGACACTAGTCATGTGACTTCGCTGACGCAACAATATATACAAGTTTTGTACATTACATAATATAGAAATTCTTAAGTAAAAAAGTCTTTGCAGATTTACTATAGACCTTCTGTTCTATTTATGGAGTGACATAACTTGGACTTTTACTGATAAATTTGGATTATTACAAATACCGTATTCTTAGAAATGTAAAAGTAAGTGACTCAAGAGGAGTCTATGTTTTTTTTTTATATGGTTAAACTCACGATTACACGCTTGAAACAATCCAGTGTCAATTTAAAAAATATGGATTGTTGAAATTATTGTTTGCAAATCGCTCTGATCTCAGATCATCAATAAAGTATTACATATTTTCGCCAAAAAATCAAACACCGGTAGTTAGGCAGTTTGTGATGTTGGATGTGCGACTTTAAAAATACGTGCGCCCCTTAGTGGTACAGAGGTACGCCTGAAGGCTTATAACGCTAAAAAACCGGGTTTCGATATTCCTGGTGGGCACATCACAGGTAACCCATTGTGTAGCTTTGTGTTTAACGACAAATAAATTTATACGTATAGTTATGTCTCTTGTATTAATAAGCTGTAAGGTTCTAAATAATAAGCTACTGACATTTCTTTGTGCCTTACAAATAAGAGCCTTTGTTTTTTTAAATATTTATTTAATTTTTCTGATTAGTGACATATACGCAAAAAATCTTAAGCCTCAAAGCGTTTGCAAAATTGTCGTTTTATTTTAAAAAGTAGACTGCACACATGACACATTAATTGTAAAATAAACTATTTTTCGCAGTAATTCAAGCACGAGTTTAAATAATACTATAAAATCAGGCCTATACGCAGAATGTTTGAAAAAGGGTTCTAATTTGTGAGATCAAAAACCAACACATGCAAAACATGCTAATGCAACGGGAGCTGGGGGCATACGACTGTTTCAAACCAAAAATGACTAATGTTTCATCAGAAGAACGTAGACTATGTAGAAAACTATTACAATATAAGCATAATTTTTTATATCATAGGATATTCGGCTGAACCACCTCGACCCCCCCCCCCCCACGCCTCTGCGTTAGTGCGTGAATATTTAAATATTTATTCTCCATTCATATATTTTTACAAATA